TGTAAAAGATAACCAACAATGTTATGTGTTGTTGCTACAAAGATAACCACCATTGTTATGTGTTGTTGCTACAAAGATAACCACCATTGTTATTATTTGTATATTTATTTGATTTTAAAACTGCATTTATTTATATTATATTGGAGGAAGAAAGTTTATTCACAACAATAATAATAAAAAGTGAGTGTATGTATCTTTCAAAGATTTATAATTTTTTATTGCTCCAAAACTATAAGAGCTACTTCAATTAAGTCACAAATGATACCACATTCATATTTTTTTCTTTATTCCAACCATCCAGATCGGAAAGAATTCATAACAAAATTCAACATTTAAGCATCTTGTGAAATAAATGAATGTGATGTTTTTTCCCAAGTGTGTTTTTTTTTTTTGGACAGGAATTTGATGAAGTGTGTTAGGTAAGAAAATCTACCATGATTTGAAGTTTTACCTTTGAAAAATTATTTTGTCCAGATTTGGGGTTTTGGGGAAAGACAAAGATGAAAAAAAAGCTCAAAAGATAGAGATAGGATTATTATGAGGAAATATAAAACCCAATAATAAAATCTAATGGTGAAGCACATAAATTACCTCTATTCCAGCTGTTGGGATTTTTTATCAGACCCTTGGAAGTGACGAGGAAAGGTCCATGCTGTGAAAATGCCGCTTCTCCCACGGCAGAACAACCAGGCCCTTCAAAATATATAGGGTTAATCGGTGAAAATAAGAAAAATTAAGATTAATCACATTACTCACCACCATGTAACCATAGTACAACTGGTTTTGACGGTGGATCAACTTCAGTTTCTACGAAATAGTAGAAGAGGTTCCGGTGGTGGGAAACATTAACGGTTATGTATCCCGAGTGTTGCTTGAACTGCACCGGTGGTTGCTCCGGTAAGCTAGTTACCTTATCAGTAACTGGTAGGGCAGGATAAGAAACGAGGCTTACAAACAAGAGGATGAAAATATTCATTGCAGACATATTGCACTGGGTTGTTGTTGACAAGGTTTTGTGGGTACTGGGTTGTTCGACAAGGTTTTGTGGGTACTGGGTTGTTTGACAAGGTTTTGTGGGTATAAATAGGTGGGAAGTTTGGTGGAAATGACAAAAGCAGTGCCATAGGTGGGAAGTTTGGTGGAAATGACAAAAGCAGTGCCATAGGTGGGAAGTTTGGTGGAAATGACAAAAGCAGTGCCATAGGTGGGAAGTTTGGTGGAAATGACAAAAAGCAGTGCCACTGATATTTATGCTTTTATGCTTTTAGTGCCACGTGGTTGTAGTTATGCCACATGTTTTGAACATGTAACTTGTGAGGAAGAGTTCGAAAATATCTCAAAATTCTTTCTATAACGTTGCAAAACACATAGCACCCCTGAACCGTATACCAATCATTTTTTATCATTCTAAACTTTTTCAAATCTAAGGGTCTGGTCCTTCTAGAAATAAGAATACACCCGCATCTCAATAAGACTAATTTGTAATTAGAACAATGACTATAATGTGTTTGAAAAAAAATTTAGAATGGGTTTGAATGAGGTAGTTAGATTTTTTATTAAGGAATTTAAATTTTTAAACAATTTAAATATTTAATTGAAATCTATTTATTTTTAAATTATTTTGTTTGAATAGAATTTTATGATAAATTATTGTTAGATTTTCGGAGTCATTTTTATAAGTTTAAGGGACTGATTTGGCTAGCAACTACATGGAGTGTATGGTTAATAAGGAATGATGCTATGTTTAGAAATATCAATTTTGATATCACAAGATTACTAAACAATATCAAAGCATTGTCATGGAGCTGGTTCTTTCACAATGACACCGTACTTAAGCGAAGTATATGATATCAATGCACCGTCCTTATGCGAAGTATATGATATCTCAGCAGTGGATATATTGAGAAAGAATTTGGGTTTGATTTGTTTTACTATATTGTATTGGCCATTCACTTGAACAAATTGGCAGAAACTTGGCACAACTAGCAGAAAACAGTATTGTGTTCGGTTATGGCGCAGATATAACCAAATGGAAAATTCGATTTAAAAAATGATAATAGTAACACTGTAAGCAAGAAATTAATCAGCCCTGAACGCGAATTGATTGTTGATGGTAAATCCAAAAAAATGTTTATCCCATGGCAGAACATCTGGTGTGACAAAACAGATTGGTTCTGTTTGTTATATTGAATTATATTTGAGAAATGTAATACATGCAGGCCAACTGTGCGAGAGACGCGGTCTGGAATTATTATGCCGTGGGAAAGACCTCGTTGCAGAGGTACGGAAGTATGCGCTGCGAGACGCATTGGACATAATGCACCACTTTTAATCTATGTGCTTGATTGCGAGAGGCTTCGTCGCAGATGGATAAATTGAGAAAAGAGAAAATGGAGTTTTGATTGAAAATGTTGTGATGGACAATGTGGAAGAAAGGGTATATCAAGGGTGTGGAGACTATTCGTATCACGAATATTACAATACTTACGCTATTGGAATTTGTAGAACACGCAGAGTGGAAAAAAGACGCGATGGCTGTGAATGGCAGTTTATGCACGGATATGGCATATTCATTCAAAGTGCAATATAGTGAATGGCATTTGAGGAATAACAGTGTTTTTTTACTATATTATGCATGCTTACATGTTTAGTTTTTTTTTTATGTTCTAGTCTATCTATATAAATCAATTTTCTTATAGACTTTAAATTGGTAATCGATCTTATGAACTTGTATTTCACTAGCTTAATATGTCTATCAAGCCTAAGATTCTTAATCCTTTTCACAAACACTGACCCCCCTTGTTGGGACATTCCGGTAGTGTAATGTGTCTCCTCCCTTAGGATATGATTGAGAGCACGCCGGACTGAGAATATGCTGATTGTACATAAATATGTGTATCATGTATTATACACCTTTGTGGTTTGCTTTTCCTCTTTCTCACTCTCCAACCATGATATGAGTTTCGAATAATGTAAACCCTTAGGGATTGTTACCTTCACAAGATTGATGAAGGGAGAGAGTATGCTGAATTTATGCATGCTCCAAGGAAGAGATTTACTGATTTTGATATTCTCTTACCTAAAAGATTTGCCTGTTCCGTAACCGCTGTTAGTCAGGAGATTGCTGATGAGACTGATAGAGAAACAGGTCGCTCGAAGGGTACTTCATCTGTTCCCATCCATCTGAGTTCTATTCCCCTCATGTTGAGCTATATATATTAGCAGTTCAATTTTTTTAAGTTGGTGACAACTCATAAGATGCATAATTGAATTATGTTTAAGTTTAAACTCTTCAACTAATTGATCCTTTACTGTTGTTGTTGTTGTATGTTTATCAATCACTGATTTTATGAATTTCAAAATATATTTTAAAATCATACTCTTATTTATTTTATTTTTTTCTCCAAGTTTTCTTATGCTTTTTACTAAATTTTTAGTTTCTTCCATTTTTTGGTAAAAATTTCTCCTTTTTAATTTTGAGAAAGATTTCAGAGCAAAGCAAGAAACAGTATATATCTTCTTCTTATCTCTTTTTAGATAATGAATTTAATGGCTCAAGTATATTTACATCTTTAGTTGTTTTGTTTTTTACCTCTAGGTTTGCAATTTTGCCATGCTGTCGAGTTGGTAGGATTTGGCAGGTGAACTTTCTTTTTGGCCTCTTTGGCAGGTGAACCTCCTCTGGAGAAAGATGGATATAGTGAAAGTGTAATTACTTTCTAAAGCTAGCTCAAATAAAGCTTGTTTTTTTTGGGGGATAAATATTTATTTTGAGGTAGCATTCCTTATGAAGTTCCAGTTAAAATCACATGCATTATTATTTTATTTTGTTGTGGTTATTGTAAGGGTTTCTTTCTTATGGTAGAATAAAATTTCCGCATGTTTGTGTTTAAATTTAGAAGACCCTCCTTGCTATTAGAAGCAATCAATTTTGGCACTGGGAGCATTACGTCTACTGTGATCTTATTTTGGAGGTATGCAAGTTATGAAGTTTTGGTTGTATGTATTATTGTTATGTGTGCTAAAGTCGCATTTGATTTAAATCCAGATTACTAAATTTTTCTGAAAAAACCGTATAAATGAATGACGTGTTAGTTTTACATGCTAGAAGTGTCAGAAATACACATAGGAGAGTGGTTTAGGAGACATCATCTATATGCATGATTTCTGAAGAAAGAATCTTTTGGTGGATCCTTGTACATGGTTTCATGTTACCTCTAAGTCATATCAGAGTTACTAGACTGTAATTTTTTCCATATATAATGACTAAGGGTGTGTTTGGTTTGACGTTTGAGAAGCCAAACGCACGTCTAGATCCTTGCAAGCCACAAAACTAAGCTTCTGCAGCAACGTGATTTTCATAAGCCACAAAACTAAGCTTCTGCAGCGACGTGAATTTTCGCTGTGTTTTCTTTCTCGGCCACTAAACCAAACGGACACTAAATAGGTTACTATGAGAACACCTAGTAGAACTACCACATACAGAACCAACACTCTCTTTCTACTTCAAATTGAAGATTATGTTTGTCAATTAGAGTAAATATTAAGTAACAAAAGGGAGAAAAACTGAAATATAAATGAGATCTAAAAGTTATTCTCCTTTGATTAATTAATTGGAAGGTACATAGGATCCTTTATATAAGGGGATAGTCACACTTCTCTTACATCATTTTCTGATGAAAGTTTTTTGGAAAGGAAAACCCCTCCCTAAAAGACCACCCTTTCCCATCAAAGATTGAAAAAAATAATGTTTTTTTTTATTTACTTGTAAACTTGTGTCTTATCCTAAGTGGGCTTTATGGCCCATAATAGTATAGATTTATAGTAACTATCTGCATCCTCCCTTGTTGTGTGTTTCTTATCACGTGAGATAGCTACATCATAAGATCAGGAAAACTACAAAATAAAGGAAAAGCATTGAAAGTGTGATGTAGCTATCTCACGTGATAAGAAACACACAACAAGGGAGGATGCAGATAGTTACTATAAATCTATAGTTATTATGGACCATAAAGCCCACTTAGGATAAGACACAAGTTTACAAGTAAATAAAAAAAAACATTATTTTTTTCAATCTTTGATGGGAAAGGGTGGTCTTTTAAGGAGGGGGGTTTTCCTTTCCAAAAAGCTTTCATCATCTCCGACGATCTCTCTGGTTGAGCTAATGGAGTTGAATGACCCGCTCCCCTTACGGTTGCAAAAGTGAGGATGTCCCCATATACTTGGGTCCATCCAGCAACCTAAACAATCAAACATCAAAATTAGTTAGTTTTAAAGCTAGAAAAGAATATAGATAGTAACCTAAGCAATCAAACATCAAAATTAGTTAGTTTTAAAGCTAGAAAAGAATATAGATAGTAAATGAAAATTAAAAGGTTCATAAGTTATTGGAAAATGCTATTTGTCCATAAACACCTCACGAAAACATCATGATGCTACATAATTAATTCACTCCTCCCCCTCTTGTTTCTAAACACTCCTTCAACTATTTATTATAAGCCACTCTTGTATTCTATTAAATACCAAATCCAATGGATGAATCATGATGGTTTCTTTCGTGTCAAATAGCACCACTCTAAAATATTTCTAACAGTTTGTACAAAAAAAAAATATTATTTCTAACAGTCAAGTAAGAAATATATTGACCTGAGTTCCATGAAACCAAGCTTGGTGGTGTCTTGTTACCTTCAAGACCAAATCTTTAGCCAATCCATTTATTAAAGACCGTGTCCCAATAAACGGTATGACAGAATCCTGATCACCACTGCAAAAAGGAAAAACAGTTTTACTTCCTCGAATTCTACATATTTGACATTTATTATTTTTTCAAATGACACCAGATACTATAGTAATACAATAAAAGTGAAAATGATTGATTACCTATATGCTAGCACCCTAACACCGGACTTTACAAGTGTCCCTAGCAAAGATATGGTTGAATTTTCAAGATTTTGAAAGTCATACACAAGAACCCTGTAATGTAAGATAAGAGAAATGAAAATACACTCAATAAAATAAGTCAATTCAAGAACAATATTTTACAACTCCATTAGTTTCATAGATCATAAAACTTACGGACTGCAGGATGACCAAGCTTTGACCCCTATAAGCTTGGCGTGAAGAGCTTTTCTCACATCTTTCCTATTCAAGTACGCAATCGAGTCATCTCGTATGCATACATTTGTCTTCACTCCGGCTCGTGTTTCTGGTGGCACGGGACAAACATCAGCCAAAATGTTGAATGCGTCTGTATCGCCATCGATCTGTACATGAAATGTAAGTCAATTGTAAGTGTTATCTTCTAAAATTCAAATACATTGATATATCATTTTTTTAATATATAAACATATAAAGTAACCTCGGTTTCCATTTGAAGGTTAACTTTAGCACAGCTGGTACTTAAATCACCAGTAGCTCTCATCTGCTTCTGCATTGTTGGGTAGCTGCATTCATTGTTCAACATTTCATATGTTGACTCTGAAATTACTCCATTCTGCCACAAAAAATCAGTCGAGCCTTTGAAGTCGGTGTCAAATTCAAGAAGAGGATTCCCTATCTGCAAATATCAACAAATGAGTCACTATTATTCATCATAGATGAGTTTAAATAATTATAAAAAATGTAGAACAAAGTGTTGACTCACAGCTATCCCCTTCGGATTGAATTCAGATTTGGTCTGAAGGATGAGGTGTGCAAGTTGGGGAGCAAAGTGTCCTGATGATATAAACAAACATGAATTGCATTATTTAAAAGAACGTTAAATCGGAAAAAAAACTATTCGTTTAACACAAATATAACATTGTACCTGCATAACCCTCCCCAGCTATAAAAAAATCGTTGGTTCGGAAATCGGAGTAAGGTGATCCCTTGCTGTAAATCACAGAGTTAGTATATGTTCTTGATAAATGTCATATATTGGATTAATTAATTCAATTCAAATGTTATAGTCATTCATTTAGTATACTGTTGGTAGAGAAGAAAAACAAAGTTTAAATATTGGATATATGAATCTTCGAATGACATTTCAATTATTGCTGTAAAGCAATTGAAACAAAGTTTAAAAATGAAGTTAGAAATGGATGTAGAATCAATTCTACATAACTATTTTACACTCAGTACTTACCAAGTTAATACAAAAACGCCATCCAAGTACTGTATTACATAAGCCTGAGTTAATACAAAAGATGTGATAAATCATATCTGTTGAGCTTGCTTCCCCATGGATATTGATAGGAAGTTTTTCCTATCAAACTAAGAACTAGGATTTTCTACACTAAAAGAAGAAGAAGATTAAATAAAATAAAGGAATTTGATTGGATTCATTGATTTCCTTCAAAGTCTCAAAGGACTACATATATAGTACTCATAGTGATACTAAACTAGAAGGCCCAAATGAAAAGCCCAATTCAACAAAACATTCAAAATAAAATAACACTAGCATAATTATATTACTAATTGAAATATCTAATTGCACCTCCGGAATCACTTAAGGATGGACAAAAGAGACTAGACAGAACAAATGGTATAAACATGCACTATTTATCCAACTTACCCCACCATTTCTAATAACAACAACAGAAACAGTAGTGAGAAATTTGTATACACATCTTTCAAGCAAATTTTAGTTTTAGAATCTGAAGTGAAAGCCATTTCAAGACTACCAGAGAAAGAAAATAGACATTATTATTAGTAAGAACAAAACATTACCTGCAAAGGCATCATTTAAAAATAAGTAGTCGGACATGTTTTCCGAATAAGAGAAACCGACGCCAGCTGGAGAATCCAAGTACAGCATATTTGCCTCTGTAAAGCATAATTAGTTCCTTTAAAGTATTGAGATGATATTAGGATCTAATGCCTCTTGAATGATGTATGTATTTGCTCCAAATTAAAATAAAATGATGTATTTGCTTTTGAATGTGATGGCAGTTATCTTCCATAAAATGGCAAACGTGTGCTTTTTCTGTAAAAGATAACCAACAATGTTATGTGTTGTTGCTACAAAGATAACCACCATTGTTATTATTTGTATATTTATTTGATTTTAAAACTGCATTTATTTATATTATATTGGAGGAACAAAGTTTATTCACAACAATAATAATAAAAAGTGAGTGTATGTATCTTTCAAAGATTTATAATTTTTTATTGCTCCAAAACTATAAGAGCTACTTCAATTAAGTCACAAATGATACAACATTCATATCTTTTTCTTTATTCCAACCATCCAGATCGGAAAGAATTCATAACAAAATTCAACATTTAAGCATCTTGTGAAATAAATGAATGTGATGTTTTTTCCCAAGTGTGTTTTTTTTTTTTTGGACAGGAATTTGATGAAGTGTGTTAGGTAAGAAAATCTACCATGATTTGAAGTTTTACCTTTGAAAAATTATTTTGTCCAGATTTGGGGTTTTGGTTGGTTGGAGTTTTGGGGAAAGACAAAGATGAAAAAAAAGCTCAAAAGATAGAGATAGGATTATTATGAGGAAATATAAAACCCAATAATTAAATCTAATGGTGAAGCACATAAATTACCTGTATTCCAGCTGTTGGGATTTTTTATCAGACCCTTGGAAGTGACGAGGAAAGGTCCATGCTGTGAAAATGCCGCTTCTCCCACGGCAGAACAACCAGGCCCTTCAAAATATATAGGGTTAATCGGTGAAAATAAGAAAAATTAAGATTAATCACATTACTCACCACCATGTAACCATAGTACAACTGGATTTGACGGTGGATCAACTTCAGCTTCTACGAAATAGTAGAAGAGGTTCCGGTGGTGGGAAACATTAACGGTTATGTATCCCGAGTGTTGCTTGAACTGCACCGGTGGTTGCTCGGGTAAGCTAGTTACCTTATCAGTAACTGGTAGGGCAGGATAAGAAACGAGGCTTACAAACAAGAGGATGAAAATATTCATTGCAGACATATTGCACTGGGTTGTTGACAAGGTTTTGTGGGTAGATAAATAGGTCGGAAGTTTGGTCGAAATGACAAAAAGCAGTGCGAAATGACGATGCATTTCCACTCATATTTATGCTTTTAGTGCGTGACACCTTGGTAACTCAAAGATAAGATCAGGAAAACTACAAAATAAAGGAAAAGCATTGAAAGTGTGATGTAGCTATCTCTCGTGATAAGAAACACACAACAAGGGAGGATGCAGATAGTTACTATAAATCTATACTATTATGGGCCATAAAGCCTACTTAGGATAAGACACAAGTTTACAAGTAAATAAAAAAAAAACATTATTTTTTTCAATCTTTGATGGGAAAGGGTGGTCTTTTAGGGAGGGGTTTTCCTTTCCAAAAAGCTTTCATCATCTCCAACGATCTCTCTGGTTGAGCTAATGGAGTTGAATGACCCGCTCCCCTTACGGTTGCAAAAGTGAGGATGTCCCCATATACTTGGGTCCATCCAGCAACCTAAACAATCAAACATCAAAATTAGTTAGTTTTAAAGCTAGAAAAGAATTGGAAAATGCTATTTGTCCATAAACACCTCACGAAAACATCATGATGCTACATAATTAATTCACTCCTCCCCCTCTTGTTTCTAAACACTCCTTCAAACTCTTGTATTCTATTAAATACCAAATCCAATGGATGAATCATATGGTTTCTTTCGTGTCAAATAGCACCACTCTAAATTATTTCTAACAGTTTGTACAAAAAAAATAAATTATTTCTAACAGTCAAGTAAGAAATATATTGACCTGAGTTCCATGAAACCAAACTTGGTGGTGTCTTGTTACGTTCAACCCCAAATCTTTAGCCAATCCATTTATTAAAGACCGTGTCCCAATAAACGGTATGACCGAATCCTGATCACCACTGCAAAAAGGAAAAACAGTTTTACTTCCTCGAATTCTACATATTTGACATTTATTATTTTTTCAAATGACACCAGATACGTTATAGTAATACAATAAAAGTGAAAATGATTGATTACCTATATGCTAGCACCCTAACACCGGACTTTACAAGTGTCCCTAGCAAAGATATGGTTGGATTTTCAAGATTTTGAAAGTCATATACAAGAACCCTGTAATGTAACATAAGAGAAATGAAAATACACTCAATAAAATAAGTCAATTCAAGAACAAATATTTTACAACTCCATTAGTTTCATAGATCATAAAACTTACGGACTGCAGGATGACCAAGCTTTGACCCCTACAAGCTTGGCGTGAAGAGCTTTTCTCACATCTTTCCTATTCAAGTATGCAATCGAGTCATCTCGTATGCATACATTTGTCTTCACTCCAGCTCGTGTTTCTGGTGGCACGGGACAAACATCAGCCAAAATGTCGAATGTGTCTGTATTGGCATTGATCTGTACATGAAATATAAGTCAATTGTAAGTGTTAACTTCTAAATTCAAATACATTGATATATCATTTTTTTTAATATATAAATATATAAACTAACCTCCGTTTCCATTTGAAGGTTAACTTTAGCACAGCTGGTACTTAATTCACCAGTAGCTCTGATCTGCTTCTTTATTGTTGGGTAGCTGCATTCATTGTTCAACATTTCATATGTTGACTCTGAAATTACTCCATGCTGCCACAAAAAATCAGTCGAGGCATTGAAGTCGGTGTCAAATTCAAGAAGAGGATTCCCTATCTGCAAATATCAACAAATGAGTCACTATTATTCATCATAGATGAGTTTAAATAATCATAAAAAATGTAGAAAAAAGTTTTGACTCACAGCTATCCCCTTCAGATTGAATTCAGATTTGGTCTGAAGGATGAGGTGTGCAAGTTGGGGAGCAAAGTGTCCTGATGATATAAACAAACATGAATTGCATTATTTAAAAGAACTTTAAATCGGAAAAAAAAACTATTCGTTTAACACAAATATAACATTGTACCTGCATAACTCTCCCCAGCTATAAAAAAATCGTTGGTTCGGAAATCGGAGTATTTACTGAACCAAAGCTGCAAAAAAGCAAGGTGATCCCTTGCTGTAAATCACAGAGTTAGTATATGTTCTTGATAAATGTCATATATTGGATTAATTAATTCAATTCAAATGTTATAGTCATTCATTTAGTATACTGTTGGTAGAGAAGAAAAACAAAGTTTAAATATTGGATATATGAATCTTCGAATGACATTTCAATTATTGCTGTAAAGCAATTGAAACAAAGTTTAAAAAAGAAGTTAGAAATGGATGTAGAATCAATTCTACATAACTATTTTACACTCAGTACTTACCAAGTTAATACAAAAACGCCATCCAAGTACTGTATTACATAAGCCTAAGTTAATACAAAAGATGTCATAAATCATATCTGTTGAGCTTGCTTCCCCATGGATATTGATAGGAAGTTTTTCCTATCAAACTAAGAACTAGGATTTTCTAAGATTAAATAAAATAAAGGAAGATGAAAGACTTTTGATTTGATTCATTGATTTTCTTCAAAGTCTCAAAGAACTACGTATATAGTACTCATAGTGATACTAAATTAGAAGGCCAAAATGAAAAGGCCAATTCAACAAAACATTCAAAATAAAATAACACTAACATAATTATATTACTAATTGAAATATCTAATTGCACCTCCTATTTAATGCACAGGAATCACTTAAGGATGGACAAAAGAGACTAGACAGAACAAATGGTATAAACATGCACTATTTACCCAACTTACCCACCATTTCTAATAACAACAACAGAAACAGTAGTGAGAAATTTGTATCCACATCTTTCAAGCAAAATTTTAGTTTTAGAATCTGAAGTGAAAGCCATTTCAAGACTACCAGAGAAAGAAAATAGACATTATTATTATTAGTAAGAACAAAACATTACCTGCAAAGGCATCATTTAAAAATAAGTAGTCGGACATGTTTTCCGAATAAGAGAAACCGACGCCAGCTGGAGAATCCAAGTACAGCATATTTGCCTCTGTAAAGCATAATTAGTTCCTTTAAAGTATTGAGATGATATTAGGATCTAATGCCTCTTGAATGATGTATGTATTTGCTCCAAATTAAAATAAAATGATGTATTTGTTTTGAATGTGATGGCAGTTATTTTCCATAAAATGGCAAACGTGTGCTTTTGCTGTAAAAGATAACCAACAATGTTATGTGTTGTTGCTACAAAGATAACCACCATTGTTATTATTTGTATATTTATTTGATTTTAAAACTGCATTTATTTATATTATATTGGAGGAAGAAAGTTTATTCACAACAATAATAATAAAAAGTGAGTGTATATATCTTTCAAAGATTTATAATTTTTTATTGCTCCAAAACTATAAGAGCTACTTCAATTAAGTCACAAATGATACCACATTCATATTTTTTTCTTTATTCCAACCATCCAGATCGGAAAGAATTCATAACAAAATTCAACATTTAAGCATCTTGTGAAATAAATGAATGTGATGTTTTTTCCCAAGTGTGTTTTTTTTTTTGGACAGGAATTTGATGAAGTGTGTTAGGTAAGAAAATCTACCATGATTTGAAGTTTTACCTTTGAAAAATTATTTTGTCCAGATTTGGGGTTTTGGGGAAAGACAAAGATGAAAAAAAAGCTCAAAAGATAGAGATAGGATTATTGAGGAAATATAAAACCCAATAATAAAATCTAATGGTGAAGCACATAAATTACCTCTATTCCAGCTGTTGGGATTTTTTATCAGACCCTTGGAAGTGACGAGGAAAGGTCCATGCTGTGAAAATGCCGCTTCTCCCACGGCAGAACAACCAGGCCCTTCAAAATATATAGGGTTAATCGGTGAAAATAAGAAAAATTAAGATTAATCACATTACTCACCACCATGTAACCATAGTACAACTGGTTTTGACGGTGGATCAACTTCAGCTTCTACGAAATAGTAGAAGAGGTTCCGGTGGTGGGAAACATTAACGGTTATGTATCCCGAGTGTTGCTTGAACTGCACCGGTGGTTGCTCCGGTAAGCTAGTTACCTTATCAGTAACTGGATAAGAAACGAGGCTTACAAACAAGAGAATGAAAATATTCATTGCAGACATATTGCACTGGGTTGTTGTTGACAAGGTTTTGTGGGTAATACTGGGTTGTTGTTGACAAGGTTTTGTGGGTAATACTGGGTTGTTGTTGACAAGGTTTTGTGGGTAATAAATAGGTAGGAAAATGAAAAAAAGCAGTGCGATTCCACTCATGCTTTTAGTGCGTAGTGCGAAAGCAGTGCGATTCCACTCATGCTTTTAGTGCGTAGTGCGAAAGCAGTGCGATTCCACTCATGCTATACGACAGTCTCCTTAAACCAAGGGGATGCTTCTTGGAGAGTGTTATGAAAATGTTAAACAACCAAGTCAAAGAAAACGACCAAGGATATTTTCATAAGGGAATTGCTCTTCAAGATGTTGTTATTGAACTTGTCCTTGGTAATGAAAGTTTCACGCCACGTGGCTGTAGTTATGCCACATGTTTTGAACATGTAACTTGGTGAGGAAGAGTTCGAAAATATCTCAAAATTCTTTCTATAATGTTGCAAAACACATAGCACCCTTGAACCGTATACCAATCATTTTTTATCATTCTAAACTTTTTCAAATCTAAGGGTCCGGTTCTTCTAGAAATAGGAATACACCCGCATCTCAATAAGACTAATTTGTAATTAGAACAATGACTATAATGTGTTTGAAAAAAAATTTAGAATGGGTTTGAATGAGGTAGTTAAATTTTTTATTAAGGAATTTAAATTTTTAAACAATTTAAATATTTAATTGAAATCTATTTATTTTTAAATTATTTTGTTTGAATAGAATTTTATGATAAATTATTGTTAGATTTTCGGAGTCATTTTTATAAGTTTTAAAGTTTTAGGGTTAAATTTTAAATTTTAAAAATAAGGACTAATTTTCAATTTCTAAAATTTAAATGGATCAATTTTTAAAATTTGAAAATTATTAAGGATTAATTTCTATTTATTTATTTTGAGAGTCAATTTTAAAATTTTGGGAAATATGTGAACCAATTTACAAAATTTGAAATAATAATATTAATCAATTTGACATTCAAATTATATGGAGTGTGAGAGGAGTTTGATTTTTTTTATATTTTAAATATCATTTCAAAATCATAAAAATTTAACTTGAATCAAATACTTGATAGATTTTCATCATTTTTCATGAAGTTTGTATGAATCATGAAGATGAATGGTAGAAAGAATGGAAATTGAGAGGCAAGTGCAAGAGATGCTTGATTCCAGAATCCTTAGGCTGAAAAAGATGGTGAATCTTTCTGGCACGGTTAACAAATTTCAAACATTCACGTTCCTGTTAAAAAAATAATATATATAAAATATCAGTCGCATTAAATTTGGTTGAAACAGAAAAATAACAATCATTAACAAATATACCTCTTTGGCCCAAAAATATGGAGCAACATGGTCTCTATAACATATTAATAATGAGGTGTCAATGGTCCCTCCTATATATGGGCCTGCAAGTGAAAGAAGACCATCATGTGCACTTGGAGATTTCTTCAACATGGTCTCTATAACATATTATAAAGTTTCATTCGCTTTAAGCGTGAGAATTCAATGTAATATTTTAAAAATTGGGCCTATCATCAAATTGTTGAGGAAAATGGATCAATAATTTATTGGTCAATCAATTGGGTCATTATTCGAATCGAATCACTAAATCAGATAAACCATATAATTCGGTTAAATAAACGGATTTCTTTAATAAAATTATATAGTTATTAAACAAATTGAACCAAATGATTTGATTTTAAAAAAATAATGATTCTTATAAAATTTCAAAATTTCAAAATTTCATAAATTGACTATTTAAGTTCAAATTTTAAACATAGTCATCACTTATAATAAAATAGTATACGATACAACTCTAAATAAATTTTGAACAATGCTTAATTACAACATAAAATTGAATAGCAAAATATTTATAGTATCTAATAAATTTAATTCTAATAAAGGAAAGTTGTTCAAAATAAATTATAAATAAAATCTATATTTGTTTTAATTTTATTTTTTAACAATTATTAAAAAATGTTGTTTTGTCGGAAGAAAAAACATTTAATCCGTCGATTTTTAAAAACTACCGATTCATCGATTTTGATTGATTCTCACTGACTCAATTGTTTATCTAATCTAACAATTAGATTATACCGTTGACTCGTCCGATTCCTAATACAACTGATTTAACTAATCGGTTCAAATCAAATTTGAAAACACCGCTCACAGCTTTGAAGTTTAGAAAAGATGTCTCACTGGAAATGTCCGAGAGTGTTTAAAAACTTCTTAATCTCAATTTCTAAATAAAATGAGATTATTTTGACCTGAACAAACAAATTACTCCATATTTTTTAGCACAAAAGCAAACACTTTAGCTATTCCAAATAGTGTAAATTAAAAACGTGTGTTCCTATTTCTTCGTACATACGAAAGAATAAAATGTATGCATGCCGAGTCTGCAATAATGTCTTCCACTTTAATCATACAAGAAATAACAAAAGGTATGGATATGACTCCACAACCCCCCACTTGGTAAACTTTTACTAAAAAAAATCAAACATGTGACTAATAGTACCACTCCACCAAGGTACATACTTTAAAGCTTATTATGGAACTTACGAGTAGTCCTAAAATCATTTAGGTGAAATGGTGAAATCTTAGGAGTCTTATTCCAAAAATAGTGTCACTCAATCAATAAGAGGAGGGTGAGTGTTAAAAATATGTTGAACTGTTTCTCATACTACCTTTCCACCTTAGTCAAAAACCAACATTTATTTATATAATCATAATAAATACAGAGTTTGGATTAACTCATCTCAACAACACAAATTTACAAGGGGAGAGAAATCACTTTATATAAAATATTTCAAGACTCTATTAGTAACTAACGTGAGATTTAAATTTTTTTCAAAATTATATCATTCTTATGTCAATTTTTCAAAGACATATGTGCGTCATCTTTAAGAGTAGACGACATAATCAGATTGGACCAAAATATTCCTATTATTCTATGCAAATTGGATCAAATATTTCCGCCGGGTTTCTTTGATTCTATGGAGCATCTCCCTGTGCATCTCGCTTATGAAGCTTACCTCGGTGGACCTGTTCAATACAGATGGATGTATCCATTTGAACGTTTCATGGGTGATTCAAAGCGATCAGTGAAAAACAAGGCAAGAGTTGAGGGATCAATATGTGCACATTACTTGCATCACAAAACATCAAATTTTTGCTCCCATTATTTCAATCACATGATATTGACTCCAAGAATCATATGGAACGAAGTTCACTTTATTGAAAGAAGTCAATTCACCTTATCTATTTTCGGTTGTCCTGGCCGTTCAGACGGAAAGACAAGTGATCATTGGTTGTCTGAAAAAGAAATGTAATCTGCTCATGTTCATGTGTTGATTAATTGCCATGAAGTCAAACCATATCTTGAGTAAGTATATAAATTAAATTACGTATATATTTATTACCTTTGAAATATCTTATTCTCTAACCTATTATTCATTTTGAAATAGGGCATTTAGTACCAACTATTTCCAAAGCACAGGCGAACAACCATCGACTGGTTACACTTATGCCAATTTTCCTGCATGGTTCAAACAACAGCTATCACTCATTGTTGCACCAAGTCCTGAAATAATCCATTTAAAGAGTTTGTCTGAAGGCCCTCATCAACGTGCAAATCAATGGCATACATACTTTGTAAATGGATATAAATTCCACACTAAATCATGGACAGAAGGGAAGAAAACAATAAATAGTGGTGTAGTTGTAAAAGGAATTACAGAAGATGGTGAGGACGACTTCTATGGTGTTATCACACATATTTATGAGTTGGTATATAATTATATGGACTCGGAAAATAGAGTTGTCTTATTTTATTGTGACTGGTATGATCCATCTTCTAGAGGAACAAAAAAAACAAAAAAATACAACATTGTTGAGGTTCGAATGGACAGGAAGTACAAAGAGTATGACCCTTTCATAATGGCGCATAATGTTAGGCAAGTTTATTACGTACCTTATCCTTCCATTCAACCACGAAAATGAGGATGGTGTGTTGCAATCAAGTCTAACCCAATATGTCATATTGAAACTGGAGATGTAATTGAGGATGTTGCATTCCAAGATGATGATATTTCACCTGTCAATGGGGACATTGAAATTGAGGAGATTGCAACCTTGTGTGATACTACAGTTGAGGGTTAAAAATTTGACACCACTATTTTATTGACACTTGTGGAAGAGGAGCATGAAGAGTCAGGAGAGTTTGAAGACTATAACAACATATCTGATGAAGATAATGAAGATGAGCATGAATTATGATTAATTTGTGTAATATTAATTTGTTTAATATAATTTGTGTAATATTGTTTTATTCATGTCTAACAACTCTTGGGTAATAATATTATTCTTGCCTGAATTATTATATATTATTCTTGTAAGTTTGATATATCAATTATTTTATGTTCATCTTTCAAAACAGAAAAAAAATGCCACTCCGACGTGAAGATAAGGGTAAGACTCCAGTAGATATGTCTCGCCGCAATCGATCGAGGTATATTATTGATCGTGGGATTTGTACTTATGTATCCAATGATTCGCACTGCAAGTGCACAGTCTTGTCGAGTAGTTTTAAAAGATATCGAACCATAGAGACTGATGAATCGATCTACCGTTTTCTATTGTTACTATGTAAATCTAAAGCTAATGAATATTTGATTTGGGTTGTAGGGAAACTAATCGCTAAATTAAGTTGTATTTTAATAATCAATGAGCTTAATTACCAGTATGCAACAGTCTTACCTCGGGAACTAGCGACCTGTCGGGCGTCTTTATATTTTCAAAACAGTTTTCAGTAAAACCTATCTAGTTTAAAAACCCTCGTCTCACATTGTCGTTTTGTTGATCTAGGCTATGCAGTTAAGTCCTAACATACGCTTCCGCCATCCCGCAGGAGTTAAAAACACTTTTTGGAAACTAAACAAAATCTTAATTAACTTTAAAGTGCTTCCGCTGTATTTTAAGCCAATGCCTAATTACTACTGTCCAGTTAAAAGATCTCAAACTTCCGCTTTGTTGACCCTAACCTCTATCTGTTTTTTTACTTCCGTAACAAAAGAATTTAATGATTTGAAAAATAGTAACTTAGGCCAGAAAAGAAAGTTT